AAATCAACCCGATGACACTTAATAACGACATCACAGCTTCTGTTATTTGGAGAAAACCTTTATACCCATTATGCCAGTTGGAGAGATTTACCTTTCCCCAGAAATGGTACTTTAGATCGTCTTCCCATGGCTTCCATCTCTATAGACAGAAAGAAGTTCAAAAGGTAGAACTTCTTATGGGTGACTGGCCTGAAAATTCCTGAGGATTAGACCTGACACATTTTTTTTTCTCACCTAGACCCAAGTGTTCTGTGAGGGCTCACTTCTGAGAGATCATACTGGGATGCTCAATTTAGTTGAGATTTCCCCCTCATGCCCCCAAATTCTCATTTTGGAACACCAGATGAAGTCAATGATATGCTGTAATGGCACAGAAAGCCATGTAGAAGCCCTGCATTTGATAGGATGTCATTTTGACTTCACATATAAAATGAAAGTGATGGGTATGGGCAATAAGGTTCAATTCAGCTAGAGAATTCTGTGACTTCAGAAACTGATGGAATTATATGGTGGTGGTAGAAAAGGCCAGGGGCCTGACATTTACCCTCCTTGGTGCTTACCCATTTCTGAGCATGTGTGCATGTGTGTTTATGGGGTAGAAGTAAACAGGAATAGGAAAAATGGCTGTGGTACCTTGAATTTACTTGATATGGCTTTTCTATCCAAAATCTTCTTAGCTCCCACCACATGATTTGGTGGGACTTTAAGGCTGGGGTTGGCTAGTTTTACCCTTCAGCTAGGTTTAAAAGGAATCATTTCAGAAACAGGAATGCGAGATCCTAAGACCATCAAGAAGGAAGAGAATGAGTGGAGTGTGAGATTTCTGCCTAGATAAGTGGCAACGGCAGAGATGACAGAGAGACAGAGCAGCTTCAGGTGTTAGGCCCGTGGACTGAGTAAAGCTGAGTGCCTACAAGGCAGGAGACGGGCTTGCAGAATGGGCCCTTTGACCATTCACAGACTGGCTAAAAGAACTTTGTATCACTTGTCCAAGTAGGTCAGAGGCCAAGGAGCCACATGGTTGAGAAGCTGGAGACAAGAATGAGGCGCGTCTGCAGTACAGCAGAGAAGAGGCATTCCTGACTGGGTAACTGCTCCAACCTAAAGTGCTTTTTTGATCCTGAATCGAACTCTGTTCACTTTCCTAATAAACCCCATTATTGTGACCATAGCAATAGATTATCGAATTCATATGTGAAGCAGAGTGTGCTGTCAGAATAGGGTAAAGAAGGTTGTAGGGTGAAGACATGTCTGACCTTCACTTTATAGGAATTGGTCTTGGGCATATTTTGAATTTGATTCTCTTTTCCCCTTGTGAAGCCAGGGGAAGTCAGACATGTCCCCACATGTTTTTTGCAATGTTAGAAGACTGGGAGATTATTTGTTCCTACTTCTGAATAGAGAAATGGAATCCTGGGGGTGCGGGGTGGGGCGCATAGGAACTGTTGCTTGACCTGCAACTCTGAGAAAAGCTGATCCTCCAGCAGCCAGGTCACTCTGCCTCTAAGGACTAGGGCATATCTCTCACCCGATTCATTTCCAACTTTGTTCCTAGAATCAGGAATACCTTATGAAAATGAGGGCACACTTTACTTACTTCATTTTCAGCATGGGAGCTGGTTGAGTGACGATTTTACTCTTGACACTTATTCCTTTGAGGGGCAACTTCAAAGTCTCCTTGTCCAGGTGGAGGTGTCAGGCTGGCTTGGTTGGGGGACAGGAGACAGGTAAGGGTCTCTGACTATCTTAGCTGAATTTACAGGCCTGATCACAGAACTGGACATTTCATAAATTCTTGTCTTTGCTTATGTTCTCCCAGCATCTGAAGTTCCCTGGGAAGACTGTCCTGTCTCAGTTCCAATGACAGTTCTCCCTTGCTGAACAGCTACAAGGACAGGAACACCAAAAGGATTAAGAGGTGCTCAGAGATTGAACCTTCCATTCCAGAACCCACACCACCTAGAGGAAGCTTGTTGCCCACGTGATGTGAGGGAAGTAGAACCACTGGGACATGGCAAACAATTGCCCTTCATTCGGCTGACAATAAAATCCCATTGTTTGAACAGATATTGAGGAAACAAACATATTGATAACCAGCTCCTGCTTGCAAGCTATGTTCCATTGCTCAGAAGAGATATGTTGAAGGGATAATTTAGTATCAAAACCACATGAGGAAAATAGTCAAAGAGATACTTTATTAACTGAAAATCTCACATGTATATAAACATTTGCCTACATTAAAAACACACATCTGAAGTTGAGGAGATGAAGGTGAGCTAGGAGGTCCAGTTGTCCTCGTTCAGGCCTCCCTCCTTTCCGGAGTCTTTGGCCAGCAAATCTCTAGGATGAACAATACCTGAAGTAGGTCCAAGTGAAAAAAGGGACTCTGAAAGAAAGAGAGTGCCTTTTTCTTCCCATGACATTTGTCCTTACGGAAGGGTCAGGTTTGAATAAACACAAGTGTGCTTCCTGGAAGGGTGACTGTCAGCAATCAGTCTTCCTTGATTCACTTTAAATAGTTTGATTAAACCAAGCACTTGGAAGCCTACTTAGGGAGCTTCAATGAGACATATTTTATCCCTTTCCAGTTTGCAAACATTGATTGGCTTTTCTTTCACAGACTGGTGGTTAGCAGGGTGGATTAGCATTCTAGAACTATTTGTAGGACCCTTGTATGTGTTCAGCCTTGCTTTGGGAAGCAGCTGGAGACTGGACTGACCAACACGTCTGTCAGTCACTACAGTTGGGAGGACTTCACAGAAAGGAAGGGTAGGCTCCTTTGTGCTGCTCTCCAGGTGGGATAGTCTGCAGTTAGGTGAAGTTTCATATATCATGTACATTTCAAAGGAAAACACAGGTTAAAATACTAATATACACTACTCAAGACACCAGATTATACACAGATTCATATTCAATTGCCCCAATAGACACGGATTGCCTACAGGGTAGAAAAAGATAGCTAGGGGGCGGGTCGAAGTGCAGTTTATTGATAGTCTGCTGAAAACCTATCTTTGCTCTTCCAAATTGCCCATTCAGGGGGAGATTAGCAATTCTGTGACTCATGACCCCAAAACCCTTTAGTTTTGACCCTGTTTATTGTGTTTTTTTAAAAATATATATATAGAAAAACAAACTTAAAGAAATCACAATTCTTTCCTTGGCCCTTCTAGAAACCTCTCACACTGGAGAGCAGTAAGGGTACTGATCCAAGAAAGTAGGATTTACTTCAAAGGGTCATGACACCTGGGATGAGAAGAAGATAGTTCTGGAAACATAACTGGAACTAAGAAAATGGCCACACACTCCCAGTTTGCCATCCACCCATTTCTGCCACACTAGTGTAAGCTCCGCATTCCAAAGGATTTCTGAAATGGGATGAGATTGATTTAGTTATGCTCAGAGGGTGGCCTTAAACAAATTGTAGTCTGCAAAGAGTTTTCACACAAGTTAAGGAAGGCTGGGTAGACGTGACAGGGCCATGCCAGTCTGAAAAGACAAGAATCTAAACATGATATTTGAACCTCTCCAGGTTGCTCAGTGAAGCTTTTCTGTTATTGCCGTTATGTGACATCAAGCTGGCTCCAACTCAGAACAACCCTGTACAGGGTTTTCAAGGAGCGAATGGTGACTTTGAACCACCGATCTTGTGGATCAAACCGACCTTGTGGTTGAGTGCTTATCCTACAGCGCCACACACACCAGGACAGAAATAATCTAGTTTTGAATAAGAATCCTGGGAAGGTATACAGTCTCACCAAGTGTAGGCTTGGTGGTATGACCTTAGTTACCAATACTGACAAAGAGTCTCAGTCCCAAATCTGGGGTTGGTGAAAGGGAGAGAAATAAAGTCCCACCCTCCAGATTAGAGTCATATCTGGGGACCCATCTGCACTTACTTCCAATTTTTGAAAGCTTTAGACTTGCTGACTGTACCAGGCTCTCCATGGGACTACTAGAGCCTACTGTGAGCCGGTGGAGACATCTCAAGAGCTCTGGGGAATAAGGAAGACAGTTGAGACAAGAGGGCTCTAGGTACTTCTTCTACAGGTTTCCTCAGGTCAAAGTGAGGGCCAGTGGAAAACCGAGGGCATGCCTGCTGCTTGGAGTAGTGGACCATAACCTGGGAAGTGAACATGGGAATTGGAGCATGGGACAATGGTAAGCCATCAGTCCGCAACAACTACATACTACTCTATCGTGACACCTTCCCAGACACAACCCTAAGAAGGTCACTGGACTGTAGAGGATGCAAGGATGAATAAAACAGACAAATGGGTCAACAAAAAATAGAGACTGCTCTTGTTTTTCCTGAGAAATTGGAAAGGTGGTCTTGTATCGCCTCTGGATTTCTCCAGGGCAATCATGCCCTTGTGTGATTCAAAGGGCTGTCTGGGTTAATACCGAACCTTCCGGTCAGGGGATGGGTAGCTACTAGGCTGATGACTACTGGGTCTAACTGACAATTGTCCCTCAGAGCTGTTATGACAAGGGGGCCAACTACAACTTCAAACTGAAATGATTACCCTTAAATAGAGATGGTTGGTGAGAGAGCAGTGTGGGGAAATGGAAAGGGTCTGATTTCTGAGACTGTTATATTACAAAGGTACTGCATTTAAATTAGAGATGGTTCAGTGGAGATAGTTCAAAGCTAATCCTGTACAGCAGAAGTCTGAGAAGGAAATACTCTTGGAATGGGGCTGAGAATATGCAGTGTTCTAAGCTTATTTTTCTGTCTCAGTATAGAAAGAGATCACCCCCTTCCTTAGCCCCCTGAGGATATTATCTACTGATTGGTGTGACCACACACACACACACACACAAAACTCTGGGTTGTTAGAATGATTTCTAAATTAAATACATAACAGGATGCTAGTGACAGAGGTCCCTGTGAAAGGACAGACACAATTACTTTGCAGTCAAATCATTTAAAATGACAGATCAGTATTAAAGAAACCCACACACAGATTTCTTATAGAAAATTTGCAGCATGTGCTTCATTGTCAAATGAAAAATATATCTTCCAGAATCTGATTCTCCTCCAGGTCTTCAGGGGTCCTGCCTGCCCCCATCTTGTCCCGGGTCTGTTTTAGAGGACTCAGTCGGAAAGTACTGTGATTCCAGGCACCAGCTTCTCTGGAGGGATGTGGCTGGGGTTTGGGAGCAGACTTTGGGCTCAGAGATTGAACCAGATCCAGCAGAGATGTCTCATACCTGTAAGATGCACAACCCAGACAGAAAATGATTAGACCATTAGGGCATTCAAATCCAAGAAGTCCAGTAGAGAGGGGCTGCCCAAGGCACGACTGAGGTCACAGATCACATCATGTGCAAGAGGGCCCTGAATGGAACGTAGGAAAGGCAAACACCAGAGGGACTCCAGAATCCAGACCTCTGCTACCTGCTTGCCCTTAAGCTCTTCTCTTCTGCCGACCCTTTATCATTTCCTTTCCAGCCTGTGGAGAGTCTATGCAGAGGAGAAAGTGATCATAATCATTGTAATGATGTTAAACTTGTTTCCTTTTCCTCTGGTCTGAACACCTCAGAGCTTACTTCCTGGGTCAGTAGACAGAGACAGGTGGTATACGCCTTAGATGAGTGGGAGGCATACTAGCTGGACTCAGCCCTCAGTTCTTTGACCTAGGACCTGGTGCTTTTGAAATGAATATGATAGAAACAGGACACAAATGGCCAAGGATGATATGGACAAAAGTTTACTGTAATCACTAGTAATAAAAGAAATGGAAAGTTACAACAAGGATTCAACTGAAAAGGACAAGTAAGTTGGTAAATACGTAAAACACAGTATCTATATCTTGTATCTATCTATCTATCTATCTATCTATCTATCTATCTATCTATCTATCTATCTATCTATCTATCTATCTATCTATCTATCTGAGTTATAGAGAGTGTCAGTATAATGCACTGGACTGCAAAGTCAGCTTGAACCACAAGGTTAGCAATTCAAACCCATCAGCCATTCCTCATTAACCCTATACAGGGTCACTATGAGTTGGAACCAACTTGATGGCACTTAACAACACAGATATATATAAATATATGTGTGTGTGTGTGTGTGATAAATGGATGGGAAAACAGGGGCTTTCATCTATGGCTGGTGGAAACATAAACAGGTAAAATTATTTTTAGAGGACAAAATGTATATTATCTATCAAAATGTAAAAAAGTATACATATTCTGACTCATAAATTTCACTTTGGGAATTATACAGAAATGCTTTTACACCTATATAAAGATATAATATAAAGTTGTTTACTGCAGTCTTGGAGAAGCATGTATTTGAGATGTCCACCAATAAGGGGTTGGTGGAAATAAATCTTGATCCACTCATATAATAGAATACTATGTAAGGAGCTCTGGTAGCATAGTGGTTATGAATCGGGCTGTGAACCTTAAGGTCAGCAGTTCAAAACTACCAACTATTCTGTGGGAGAAAGATGAGGCTTTCTGCTCCCATAAAGATTTACAGCCTTGGAAACCCTGTACAGGGTCACTATGAGTCGGTTCCGACTCCACGGCACATAACCACCAACACCATGTAAGCCTGAGGAGATGTTGCATACGCATTGTATATCATTAATTATAAAAATTACATTGCAGAATATATATTTGTTTAAGTTCACATATAGAGACATATGAATACCCTACCTGGACAGATATTGTGTTCTTTACCATTGTTCTAACTGACTTCAAACCTGGAATTCTTTGGATGTCTTGAATGTCTGGACTGGACTCTAGGGCTGGAAACTACTTGAATCATGGCTAAGTCTGCTCTTCAGGTCTTCTTTTGCTCCTAACGTCTGTTGTTCACTGTCCCAAATCCCTTTCCAGCCCTAGAGAGCAGCTCTATCCCAGATTTTCCTTCTTCTCTATCCTCAAAGGGCTTGCTTTTTAGTTTTATACATTCCTTCACATTCCTGATTATTATAATGCTTTGGAAATAACTAAGCACACCATAAATGTGTGAACAGGGCAGGTCTGCATACCGTTATTCTTCAGAGTTAGTAGGCTCCATGTTTGGGTATCGGGTCTTGCTGAGGTACCCTTTAAACTAAAAATACTGCAGTACAGGGTAAGTTAAAAGGCTGGTATGATACGTTTATGGAATGTATTATGGGAACTGAAGATGTATTGGTACCGGAAGTGTTTGTTGTGATTAATCCCTAGATTGATGTACAGAGCCATAGGGTATGCTGTTAAGGGCTGTCGAGTTGTTTCCAAACTGTCCAAGGTTCCTGAGGACTGGCTGGTGAGTTTGAACCACCGACCTTGCTGTTCAAAATGAGGTTGTGATCCAGTGCTTACCTTACAGCGCCACACCACAACATTGCAAAGCAAATATTCACAAACTTAGAAATAGAAATCAAGTGTAAAGACACTGCACTTGATGGAAAAGACAGTTATTTTTATATGAAGTTTCAAGTGAATAAATTATGAATTAAAAATATAATTTTTAAATTAAATTTTCTTTGTAGTTGGAGATACCGCAATAGAAAGCATTAGTAGGTATTTTGTATTACAAACATTTAGTCACTTTCAGTTTTTGTGCAAACTCCACAATCTATATTAGATTGATACTGTATAAATTTAAATTGAATTCATACTTACTGGAAACTAATTTGTATGAGGAGCTAAATCTTTTTAGAATGATTGTTCTGTAAGAACCATCAGTTTCGATCTACTCAAATGTATATTATGAAATAACTGATCAAAAATTGATTGCAGTATTGTCACAGTCTGTAAAGTGCACTTAAAAGCTTTAGTGTCAGATGCATCAGCAGAAAGATCCGTTTCAAAAATAAAAATGAACAAAAATACATTGCTATCCTTCATTTGTTAGAAGTAACTGATGTTGATCTTAACTGTATCATTTAAAATGGTGAAAGTATTAACTTTGGTGATAAATGGAACTGAAGAAAAATGGGTACAGAAATCTATAATTATACAACTACATTAGTAGAGCATTATTCTTTATTATGTGAAATTATGACACCAAAATAGGATGCGCCGTGATGTTGACTTTCATATTGTTACTCATGCATCATTATTACCACTGTTATGTTTTAGAATACGCTATTTTTAAAGAAAAAAATCTTTTCATTGTAGTAAGTATATCTGCACTTTTTTCTTTCTGCCATTTGAACAAGGGGTCTCACATTATTCTTTTTAAAATAAGGGAGAAACGCTTTTCTTTTCTTTTGATTTTAGGATTAGGATTAGTGTTAGGGGTAGGAGTTAGGCTAGGTCTGGGAATAAGGCTTGGTCTAGGTTTAAGGTTACAGTTAAGTTTATTTTCATTGTTTTGTTTCATTTTTCTTGACATCTTCTTGATTTCCTCTTCATTTGGAACTTCTGTAACTAACATTATTCTGTCTTTTGCTATAAGGTTTTTTATTTGTTGTGGTTGCAGACTGGCATCTCTGGTTCCCTTGTGGGGGCTCGTTATTGTTTTGCATTTGGTAGATCATGTAGTTGACTCTGCCCTCAAGTCTCAGGCAAGATCTGACACAGGCATGGAAATACCATGGCATTTTCTATGGGATAAAAACTCGGCTCACTGTAAATTCAAATCCTTTAAGCAGAAATTGTTTTGTAGCTTTAATTTCTTACAGCACCAAGGCAATGTTTTAATACAATTATCTTCATCATTCAAGATAATAGTTTCTGTGTTCCACAAACATGTAAGGTATAAAGCACTGCTTCCGATAAAGTTTGTTAATGAGCAGGATAGACCTACTCTATGCTCTTAGAACTGGCCTTGTTGGAACTTTCTTTGGGCACATATGGCAACTTGTAGTAATAGTCATCTCTCCATATAGATTAACATTTTTAAAAATCAGAAATAAAGGAAAGTAAGCATTTTTCTAACCAATTTGATGAGAAAGGTTCTGAGTATAGTAAATTAACCAGCAGCTTTCTATTTTAAAAAGTAGAGACAAAATAATTGGGGATCAAAAGTGTATCAGAAATTGACCTTTTAGAGAAGCAAAATGAAACCCAGAATATGATAACCATTCATGTTTAAAGACTGATCTAATCAGTACCAGCTTATTCAATCATCTTGAGAAAAGTGTTGTTGTTGTTAGGTGCCATCGAGTCGGTACCAACTCATCGCGACCTTAGGCACAGCAGAACAAAAAAACTGCCTGATCCTGGGCCAACCTCACTACTGTTGCCACGCTTGAGTCCACTGATGCTGCCACTTGGCCACTCCATCTCGTTGGGGGTCTTCCTCTTTTTCTCTGACCCTCCACCTTACCAAACATGATATCCTTCTCCAGTGACAAGCCCCTTCTGACAATATGTCCGAAGTATGAGAGGTGAAGTTTGACCATACTGGCCTCCAAGGAGCACTCTGGCTGCACTTCTTCCAAAACAGATCTGTTTGTTCTTTTGGCAGCCCATGGCACTTTCAATGTTCTCCTCCAATGCCATAACTCAAATGCATCAATTCTTCTATGGTCTTCCTTATTTACTGTACAGCTTTCGCATGCATATGAGGTTATTGAAAATACCATGGCTTGGGATAGGCACACCTTACTCTTCAAGCTGACATCTATGCTCTTGAACACTTTCAAAAGGTCTTGTACAATGGATTTGCCTAAAAAAAGTATGGACCTCAAATTCTTTCAGAGTACTCTTATTTACAAGGAGCTCTGGTAGCATAGTTAGGCTGCTAACCTCAAGGTCAGCAGTTCAAAACTACCAGCTGTTCTGTAGGAGAAAGATGAGGCTTTCTGCTCCTATAAAGATTTACAGCCTCGGAAACCCAACTCAGGGTCCCTATGAGTGATAATTGAATCCACAGCACATAACCACCACCACTCTTATTTACACACAACATAAGCAAATCTTTATAATGTGGAAAGAATGACCACAACAATCATAGAAAGTCAGATCAGGATCAGTTATGCAGCAGTAACAAATTAATGTCAAAATTCCAATGGTTTACCCAACCCAAACTTATTCCATGCTTATATACAGGCCAATAGTGGCTCCACTACTTTATGTCTGCACTGCCTGAAACATGTGTACATCTGTTGTCTTAGCATGGAAGAAAGACTAAAGAGCTATATGCATGGTCTCCACAGACTGAAAGGACATATGACTTCTTACAGCTGGTTGTACACAACCAGTCATGTGGCTCCAGAAGCAGCGGAGAAATGGATATTGGTACACTAAATATTCAG